TTTTCTGGAAGAGGGCATTCTTTTTTTATTCAACAGAACTTTCCCATAAAAGCATTGTATTACCTTGCATTAAGGTCTCTGGATGTTTTTGCATTATTAAGTTAATGGGTAGCTAGTCATCATTTTATGCTAGCAAAAAATGGAGAGAGAGAATTCAGTTTCTTGAGGTTTTTGCATATTGACTGCACCAGCTATGAATCAGAGTTGAGTCCCACCAAAGCTGGGTACTGCCAGGCCAACACAGGAAGGCATGCAGAAAGGTGTGCAGTGGCCTGAGGGTTGAACTCCCTTGGGGGACACTGTGGTTTGCAAAACTTACTTAAGGTGATACCGGCCCTGCTCAATTGAAATATTGCTAGAATTCTTCATCTGCAAGTGTGAGGAAATAGTTTGCTCCCCTCCCATTTTGTAATTTTCAGAAAATGCTTCCTCCTCTTGTGTGCCTGTTTCTCCTCCAGTGCAGTGTACAGTGCCACCTTGGCCGAGGGCTGCTTTCCTATCAGGTACTTAAAGCCAAACTCACTGTTCATGCAGTTTGATTGGATAGTCAACATAGGCAGCCGATTTGGTTAAACTGACTATTCTATGTGCGCCTAAAAGTAGGCCTTTAAAAGAAAGCCAGAACCAAGCATGTTGGCTTTTGCCTTTAAAACCAGAACGTGGAAGGCAGAGGCCAAAATAATGACACGTCCAAGTAAATAGATGGTGATTATTTTGAGAGGTGGTACACATTTTGTACATACTTTAAGGGTGGACCTTGAGCTTCAGTAACCATGTCATCTTGTGACCTCTTGTTACAGCTGTATCCTGACCTTACAGGCTTATTTTCTTTGGGACAGAAAGCAAAATTTGACGTCGTAACTCTTTGCCTAATCGCTCCTAGGCAGGGTCATTGAGAAGACGCCCCCACTGGGGTGCATGAATTGTACATTGCTAAATTTTGTGGAAAAGTCACCTTTTCTGGTTCCCTTCACAAGTCTGTAGCCGCTCCGTATCATGGGACTGGGATGAAATGAGGTTCATGTGTGTGGAGGTGAGGTTGCAGAGGAATGGATGCCCCTTGGCCCGATGCTGTGCACACGCCTCCAGAGCTCAGCCCTGTCCAGCTGTCACTCCCCTGCTGTCTGTCGTGCTTTCTGTCGGCTTGCAAATTTGCACAAGTGAATAATTCCTCAGGAAGAGTTTGCACATGTATCACCTCACCGTTCTTTGTGTAAACCAAATGGGATTAAAGGTTTTCAGCACAAAAGGCTGACTTGAATGGTCTGTACACCTACCAGCAAAGGCCACAGTGAACTAGCAGACAGAACCGGTTTGCAGGTAACGTGGGCAGGAACACTTGTCTCATGGTGTTTCAGCAGACAGACCTGTTGATTCTCCCTGTACCCAGAGTAAATAACCTTTCAGATTTTATTGTCTTGTTGAGGCTGCCTGTGTTTTCTTCTGTTTCTCTTCTAAAAGTTATTTCCGTGATTAATATTTGAGAGGCATTGCCCTTGAACTAAAATTCCATTGTGTATTAAGGAACTAGTATTAAACTAAGCATTATTTTGTGAATATACACTAATCTGAGATATTAAACAACTAAGGCAAAACAAAAACTCTGCATTAGCCATCCAGCCATTGTTAGGATGTTGTGAGTAGATATTTATGGTGTGTCCTTGAATGTTTAACTTGGAATATTGTCTACTTTTGTTCAAATCTAGGCCTTTTAAGGGTATGTTAAAATTCAAGATTGAAATGTGAAGCCCTTGACTAATACCTGTAAGATGTTTAGAGGACCTTTTTGGTTGTAATTACTTTCAGTGAGAGTGTGTAAAAATCAAACTGATTTTTATCAGAGGTTAAAGTGAAGTGGTAGGAGTTCATCAAGAAAGGCTCTCCTGTGCTTTCATTACTGGGTTGAAATTTGCCTCCACTTGAGATCCCCAGAAATGTATGGTGGCAGGAGCCCTGTTCTTTCCTCAAGGGAATGCCTCCTCCCCTGCTGTGATAACCTCAATCACTGCACCTCCCTCGTGCACTTGACCCTCCTCCAGGGCCAGTGGCATCGGTCCACCCCTTGCTACTTCTGTGGATGGTGTGAGTGTGAGAGCTGAAGGAAGTGCTGCTCAGATCCATTCTTATAGGACCTGGGGGCACACTGTGCCCTGCTGGGATTGTCTAATCGCAGGCTGCACTCCAGTGTTAGAAAAAAGCTGGTGGAGACTTGCAGCGTGGCTCTAAGGTTCAGAGTTCTGTAGTTTGGGGAAAATAAATGCTTTGTATTGCTTCTTCGGTGTCACCTCAGTATTATGACTGTACTAAATGCAGGAAGGCGGCATGTCTCTTAGAGTGTGCTTTGTTAAATGGGTGCCCGTGTTTGCCTTCTTAGTCTGTCAATGTTACAACCATTTGATTGAGAAATTGGTAAAATGTGAAGTTGTGGGGAACCCTGGCTAAAACCAGAAATGCTTGTGTAAAATGTAGAGATCGAATCAGGCAGGAGGTTTTTACCAGCTGCCAGCACAGCCAGATCAAGGAGGAAGCAGCGAAGTCTCATCTGCAGCGGCATTTGTTGGAAGGCATGGCAGGCCCAGCGCCGGTGTGCTGCCATCTCATTCATTAACCCAGTGAAGACAATGTGACTGAGGGACTGACTGGCCACGATACAAAGCTACTGACTTGGGTTGTTTCCTTGTTAGGGTGCACCCTCTCACTCTAAAACATTGTGGTTGATGAGAAATAAATCTTGTACAGATGTCCTTGAACTTGTTTTGTTATACAGATGTCCCTGGTCTTGATACCTGTTAAAACATGGATATTCAAATCTACCTAAGTGCACTCTAGTGTCTTCCTGCATGCCAACCACACCTCAGCATGGGTCTGTCTCCCCAGCTAATCAACCCACAGTGTCAGTCCTGACCTCTGTACTGGTGGTAGCAAAACTTTGTGTTTACATGTGCTATATGTATATATAGTGCCTACATAAGTTTAAAAATTTTTAACTCTTGTGCAGTTCTTTTTTAAAAAACATTTTTATTTTATGTGTATGAGCGTATTGCCTGCATGTATTTGAGTGCACCTGTGTTGTGCAGTGCTGCAGAGGTCAGAAGAGGGCTTTGGATTCCCCTGGAACTGGAGTTAAGGACGGTTCATAACCGCCATGTGGATGCTGGGAATTGAACCCAGGTCCTCTGCAAGAGCAGTCAGTGCTCTTAACTGCTGAGCCGTCTCTCCAGCCCCTCTTGTGCGGTTCTTTTATGGAGCTTTAATTGAAACTCTGGCTTGGGAGGTTTTTGTGTTAATCATACCAAGCTTTATTACTTGCTGTGCTTTTTCTTGCTAAGAAATTAGCAATAATCCCCTAATTACTTAACTTTAGTTTAAGTTTTTGTGTTCTCCCTCCCCTTTCCCTCCTCCCTCCTTTCCTCTGTTGGCTGGGTCTCCCTCTGTAGCACAGACTGGCCTAACCCTTCTGCCCGAGTATGGGCAACCTCGCCTGGCTCTTGCTGTCTCTAGAAGTGTCACGTCCTTCTGTATTTTCACCAGCCCCCCCGCCCCCCCGTTAGACTTTGCTCTGTGAGACGTATTACTTCTGGGGTTCATAGATGCAGCATGGTTTGGTGACTCTATCCTTTTCTTGGTATTTGAGTCACCAGACAACTCCACCTTCAGTTTTCCCCCAGCCAAGCAGGGTGCTGTGTAAACATTTTCCCTTCTTTCAGCAGGTTCTCCCTCCCCTCAAGTTCACAAGTTTTAGACCCAGCCTGTGTTTTTTTTTTGAAATTCAGTGGGCCTTATCCTCAGTAATCTAGGAAATTTATTTATTTATTTATTTATTTATTTATTTATTTATTTATTTATTTATTTATTTATTTATTTATTGTAGACCAGGGTAGCTTTGAACTCGCAGAGATCCACCTTCCTCTGCCTCCTGAGTGCTGGGATTAAAGGCATGCACCACCACGCCCAGCAGGAATTTTTTTTTTTTAAAAGAAAGAGTACCATGTATAGGTCTACTAGCATAGGTATGTGCTATTGCGTGTTGTTGGGTTACATTATTATTTTGAATCTTTGTTTATATTCATATTAAGCCCCCTAAACTGATAGAAGGCCAGAAGAATATAGCAATTAGAGTCTTACTAATCAGGGTTGCAGAGATGACTTGACAGTTAAGAGTGATTGCTGCTGTTGTAGAGGACTCAGATTTGGTTCCCAGCACGTTCATCAGCAAGTCACAACCACCTGTAACTCCAGCTGTAAGGGATCTTCATGCTCTCATTTGGCCTCCAGTAACCTGCACATACATACACTTAGGTGCGTGCACACACACACACAGGTAAAATGTATTTGGAAAAAAACCTTACTAATTACCAAAGTATCTAGTAATATATCTCAAAATATATAAAGAAAAAATGGACATGTGTAAGGAGTAGACTGATCTGCCGACGTAATGGGAAAAGCACATCTCTTCAGTAATGGAGCACACAGCACGCAGAAGGCCAGATTGCCAAGATTATTAAGGAAATGGAGTGTTAAATAACACAGCAAACAAATTTGAATTGGACATACTGCACTTTCCAGTGGAGAAATAAACAGTTGGTGAATCATTGGATTTCAGAAATGCAAGATTGGTTTAATATTAGAAAAATCAATGTGATTCATAAATTAGTGGATTAAAGTATATGATTGAATTGTTTATGAATATCTAAAGAATTTACAAAGCAAATTTGAATTCTGAGTTATATCAGGGTTTCTGGGACAAAACCAGTATGCTGAGGGCAGCTTTGTTCTCATGTAGTAGGGGATTTTTATTCTTTGAGTCAGGGTCTTAATGCATCCTCTCTTTCCCAAGTGCTGGGGTTACAGTTGTGGAACACTATGACTAGGTTAATTTTTTAAAAATTTAATTAAATTCAATCCATAGGGGAAAGTGTACCTAATAATAATAAATCTTAATAAAAAGTATTTAAGGCTATGCATAATGATGTACATCTGTCATCCCAATACTTGGGAAGTGGAGGCAGACATAGTGAGTTTGAGGCCTGGCCCACCTGGTCTACAGAAGACCCTGTCTCAGAAAAACCGAGAAGGATTTAGTACTTAATGAGAAAATGATTTATAGAACCCCCAAAACTTTATGGATCTTAACTAAAGGGAGATAAGATAGATTTGATTTTTATTAAGTTCTTAAACTGGCTAACAGAGTCAATGCAATTCTTATAAAAATCCTAATGGTTTTCATTGTGGAACTTGTGATCCTAAAAGGTAAATGGAAGAACAAAGTGTGAGGGAACTTGTAAAACAAGGTTGTACAGCACCATAAAATACAGTGATTGTGGGGCTGGAGAGATGACTCAGCAAGTAAGAGCACTGGCTGCTCTTGCAGAGGACCTGGGTTCGATTCACAGCATCCACAATAGCAGCTAACAACCATCTGTAATTCCAGTTCCAGGGGATCCAATACCCTCTTCTGACCTCCTTGGGCATTGCACGACACAGGTGCACATACACACATGCAGGCAATACACTCATACATGTAAAATAAAAATAGTAAAACTTTTTAAAATATAGTGATTGAAATACTTTGGAGTAGGGAAGTTTTCCATAGATAATGCAAACCAGCAATTCAGAAAAAATATGTGGTTACGTTGATAGGAAATACTTTTGTTTACCACACAATCCATAGACAAGAACCTCAGCCCCATCTGGAATGAGATACAAATAATTGTGATACATACTTCCATTAGAATGGAAGTCCACGTGCAAACCAACTCAGGAGAGATGGGACCAAATACAGGTGGGCATTTCATACAAGAAGCAGGCCCATAAACAAGAGATTCACCTTCATGTGGCAGTTGTGAAATGCTCATTAAAACTGTAAATACCATTTTCTAGACGCAAAATTGGCAGAAAGTAGAAAAGTAGCTGGACCTAGTGGCTCAGACTTGGAATCCTAACTACTTGGGAAGCTGAGGCAGGAGAATCACAAGTTAAATGCCTCCCTTGGCTACAAACAAGTTAAAGTTTAATTATAGGTAATTTAGTGACACTCTGCCAGAGAATTTAAAATAAAAAAAACATGGCTGGAAATACAGTTCAGAGGCAGAGCTCTTGTTTCACATGGCTCTTGGTTCAGTCCTTAGTACAAAAAAGGAGGAAGACGAGAACAAAAATTATAACAGCAACCTGTTGGCATGTGTGTGGGTATTGCAAAACAGGAATAATGTCATGGGAGGTTGAATGTAGAGATGCTAGATGATAGCTCGTGTGCACTGAGGAAAAACTTACATGCACATGTGCCAGGAAATGTGCAGGAATGTTCTTGTATATAAGCAATGTGGCCAGTAATAACCATAAAGAAGGAAGAGGGTTGGGAGTGTAGTTAGCTCAGTGGTAGAGCACTTACCTAGCATGTGCCCAAAAGCAAGGGGACTGTGTAGGACAGTAGGTGGTGAGGTCTGACTGGTGGAGAGCAGTAATGTAGGCAAACCTCAGAAGTCATGTTGAGTAAAGGAAGCAACTGAGAAGATCAGGCCCAGCATGGTTCGTACATTAAGTGAGAAAATCAGGCCCAGCATGGTTCATACCCACAAAGTTCAAAAACTGGAAAAAGCTCATGGTTTCCTTGGAGGAGCTCAGAAGCTTAGTTAAAATAAGCACTTGATAATGACATTGGGAACTGCTGTAAACATGTCACTTCCTTTTGGATTAATACATGAATTTATATGCCATTTGAAAGACCCAATAACCTATTTGTTTTTAATGTAATTTAAAACCTCATACGGCAGTATAAACAGATGAAAATAGGAAAATACTCATTGAAGAAAGAAGAAACTTGCTGTACCAAAGAGTAATCACATTTTTCAAAAGTGCAGTTAAATTAAAAACTGATGCTGGTGGAAACAGATGCACTAATGAGAAAGACTTAAAAAATAGCAACAAAGGCAAATACTTTGAAGGGTTTAGTGTCTATTAGCAGTGGCTTTTAAGAATCAGTCTGACCATGATGGATTGTTCATTGAAAACTGCTGGAGAAGATTAAGTTGATGTCTTAACATTCACCAAAGAAATCCCAGATGAGCTAAAAATTAAATTTAAAAGCATAGCACAGAAAAACAAGACATGATTTTTACCCCCAGGAGTGAAGTTTATTTTTTTTATTTTTTTATGTGTATGAGTATATTGTCTGCATGTGGGTAAGTGCACCCGTGCCGTGCAATGCCCTTGGAGGTAGGAAGAGGGCATTGGATCCCCTGGAACTGGAGTTAATGGAATGGTTGTTAGCCACCATGTGGGTGCTGGGAATTGAACCCAGATCCTTTGGAAGAGCAGCCAGTGCTCTTAACCACTAAGCCATCTCTCCAGCCCCAGAGAAGTTTCTTCTAAAGACACAAGCAAAAGCAGAGACATGCGACACAAACTCTGTACCCACAGTCACCTGCCATTGCCCGTTGTGGAGTGTTAACTCAGCTTGTGTGCGTACTTACGGGTACATTTTTAAATTAAGATTTTAAAAAATTGTGTGCATGTGCCTGTGTGAATTTATATGTATCATGTGTGTGCATTGCCTCTGCAGGCCAGAAGAGTGTCAAATCTGGAGCTGGAGTTAAGGTGGTTGTGAGCAGTCATATGTGGGTACTGTGGATCAAACCTGGGTCCTCTGCAAGAGTAGTATAGGCTCTCAACTGCTGAGCCATCTCTCCAACCCTTGTTTCTTTACTCTTCAAAACATTTGTAACTCTTGGTTTCTCCCTGTGCCTTGGTGGAACATCTTGTTCACTATGGAGACTGCTGGTTTAAAAGGTAAGGGAAGTTCACTACCCCACAG